TTTCAAGCCCAGCCGAAGCCAGGATATTGTGGTATGCTGCATCTCCCAATTTGATAATCGTACACTCCCAAGATCCAACAGTCATCGTGTCAGCAGCTAGATTACTCAAACAAAATAGCAACACATACACGGCCATAGCTCCACACATGCCCTCGCCCGAACCTAGGAAGCCACTGATGCAAAGAGCGGAGGACAGCAAAAGGGTTATTTCAAGCCCAGCCGAAGCCAGGGTATCGTGGTAGGCTGCATCTCCCAATTTGAAAATCGTACACTCCCAAGATCCCAACAGTCATCGTGTCAGCGNAAGCCACTTGGAAGTCACGAGGAAGCCAAGTCCTGCTCGCAGGTTCTCTTGGCTTACCTTCAGGTGAACACGTCCAGGAATCCAGTATCCGCAATCGCCGCAGTAGCACTGTACTGCGTAGTAGGAGCAGCAAATAAATCCAGGTTGCACCCATCCGTTGTCCAAACAAAGATTTGTGATTCCGTGAGAGAAGGAGATACCACCGCCGTCGAAGGGTCGAAGGCACTGTCTGCCAGATGTAGACTGTGAGATAGATGGAGCCACCTATGTGTTCTTAGCCTGCCCGCCCGTGAGGGTCGTGACGAGGCCGCTGTTCGTGTGATAGCATGGATCCTGGATTTCCGAGTAGAAGTTTCGTGAATCGTATCGGAGTACAATAGGGGGATGTGTCTTTGAGAAGATGTTCACGGGGCCCCGTTTTTCCAGAAAGCGAGGTTGGGTCTGCGTGACTCTCTCTTTTCCTTCGCCTTGTCTCCTGCCGAGGAAGCTAATACACTCAGTAAACATCCATATCTCTTCATCAAGCACAACAAGGGCATACAGTGCGGGCGTCAACGAACACGCTAGCGTATCCTTCCGGAAGGAGCCCGCTTGCTGAAGATGAGCACCGGTGGACGAGACGATGCTGGGAATACGGATGTGGCGGACTTGGAGGAGCGGTTGAGCAACCGCTTAGACAACGCAGTGGAGCAGAGATTCAGCAGGCTGGCGCAGCAGGTGTCACAGCAACTGTCGCAGCAGCTGATGGAACAGATGTCCTCGATGATGCGGGAGGCAGCGGCAGAAGGAAGGGAAAGCAGAGGGTCAGCAGGCGGCGCAGGCAGCGCCGCCGGGGGCGCCGCAGATGGCGCCTCCAGGGGCAGCCAGCCTGCCCCGGGCGCCCAGGTTGGGGCGCCAGCCGGAGCCGGGATTACGAACCTCTCGGTCCGGACACCCACTGAAGGATCCCAGGTGGGATTGCGGGAGGGAGGTGAGACAGTTCCCAGTTTTGTTGGGGGTGACGAGATGTCGGGGCGCGGTGCTGCTGTGTTCAGCGCCATGAAGCAGTTTCCCCGCATCCAGCCGCCCTATTTCAAGGGGGACAGGAAGTTTTTTCTCTCTTTTCGTGCCGACTTCATCAGGACGGCAAACCTCCTCGACATTGGGGAGCAGTTCGTGGGGGAATCGCGTTTACCTAATATCAGCAAGAGCAGGCGGGAACTTGCCGACGAGGGTTTCACGTCGGACGAAATTACCGCTGGAAAGAACGCGTGGAATCTACTATCCACGGCGTTGCAGTCAGAGCACGCCAGGTCCATCATTAGGCAGTGTTCAAATGCGAGGGAGGCACTGCAGGAGTTAGACGCCGTGTACAGTCCCGATACCCAAGGGGCGAAGCAAGAGCTGTTCCGACGTTTCAATGGCTTCAGGTTCTCTGCCAAGGATGACCACATCCGGGCGCTGAACAACCTAGAGCTAATTTGGAGTCAACTGAATTCGAAGGATGGTGTCGTACTGGACATGAGTTTTCTCCTAACGAAGTTCATCGATATCCTACCTACCCCGGAGTATGAGGCGGCGCAGAACAGTCTTGGCGCCATGAGGGAACCCACCAGGGAAGACGTGGTGCGTATCGTCACTACGCAACGCGAGAAGATAGTAAGGTTGGGCGACGAGGGGAAGGAGGCTGTACAGAAGAAGGGGCTGGAACAGGCATACACAGCAACTCAAGATGGAGGCGGAAGCGGGAAGAAAGGCGGCGGTGGTGGTCGGAGCAACGAACGAGTGAGGTGCTATCGCTGCAACCGGTTTGGCCACTACAGGAGCAACTGCACTACTGATCGAAAGGATTTCCTGACACACTGTAGCAGGTGTCACGGGGTGGGCCACAGCAAGGACCAATGCCCGACAAAAGAGGAGGAGAAGGTGGTGGAGCAAGTGAACTTTGCTGTTGTCGAGGAGGACAGCAGCGACGTCGACTCTGTAGAAAATCAAGCGTTTTGAGGGCCGACGGAACTACTTCAATCTGGTTAGTATTGTGTGCGTTTGATGAATGCGTGTGCTTGAGATCAGATAGGCTTGGAGTAGAAGTTGGGAGCAGTTTATGATTGACTGCTCAGGGCGTGCAGTGAGGGACGCCGGGAGAAATTTATCCGAGGATGAACAGCAGTTGTGCGGTTCCGGAATGGTTATCGTTCGTGAGGTGATGAAAAGGTATTACCTGCGTAGACGATTGATGAAACGGCATGCAGAATAAGTGTGTCGTGTGGTATGCTGCATCTCCCAATTTGATGATCGTACACTCCCAAGATCCAACAGTCATCGTGTCAGCAGCTAGGTGACTCAAACAAAATAGCAACACATACACTGCCATAGCTCCACACATGCCCTCGTCCGAACCTAGCAAGCCACTTGGAAGTCACGAGGGAGCCAAGTCCTGATCGCAGGTTCTCTTGGCTTACCTTCAGGTGAACACGTCCAGGAATCCAGTATCCGCAATCGCCGCAGTAGCACTGTACTGCGTAGTAGGAGCAGCAAATCCAGGTTGCACCCATCCGTTGTCCAAACAAAGATTTGTGATTCCGTGAGAGAAGGAGATACCACCGCCGTCGAAGGGTCGAAGGCACTGTCTGCCAGATGTAGACTGTGAGATAGATGGAGCCACCTATGTGTTCTTAGCCTGCCCGCCCGTGAGGGTCGTGACGAGGCCGCTGTGAGAGTGTGTGTCTTTTATATTTTTAGCATCGACCGCGCTAACCGGCTGACCAATGAAAAGACGTCAGTCTTAGTGCGGTTGAAAACACACAACACTTCTATCCACCATGAACTGGGACCCCGTGAGGGGGCAGCATGGGCGTACTCATACTCATAGTCGTGCATACCGTAGTCGTTGGACCATTGACCTCGCATCCCTACAAAGCCGGGACGGAGCACGCCGGGTTCTCACCGGACCAGGCTCTNTGTGTGTGTGTTTTTATTATTAGCATCGACCGCGCTAACCGGCTGACCAATGAAAAGACGTCAGTCTTAGTGCGGTTGAAAACACACAACACTTCTATCCACCATGAACTGGGACCCCGTGAGGGGGCAGCATGGGCGTACTCATACTCATAGTCGTGCATACCGTAGTCGTTGGACCATTGACCTCGCATCCCTACAAAGCCGGGACGGAGCACGCCGGGTTCTCACCGGACCAGGCTCTCACATCACCAAGCACGAAGCGCCGTGAGATATTCGGCGAGTCGCATGAAGGGTACGCTGCATCCTGCTAAGGGTGTTC